TTTTCTTTCGATTGCTTAGTAAACAAGAAACAAATCGAATCCGGGAAAAGTATTATCGAGTTCAAAACCTAACAATTGGTATCAGAGCTTCAGGTTTAAGGAGATACTCGTGATACTTTCGGATCCAAGATTCTCATCAGTCAAGAAGTCAGATCTACAAAAGGGAGGATCAGCGTAAGGTTCGAAACTTATCTGTTTCTCTGAAGTGTAGGAGTTGTTGCTTGAGTCTTGAAGCGTCTTGTTAGTCTGTATCTTGTTTTGGATCTGATCAACCTGAAATAAGAATATGGAACCTACTAAAGGTCGCTTTGAAGTTGAGAAGTTTGATGGATCTGGAGATTTTGGTATTTGGAAGCACAAGATGTATTGTGCGTTGGAGATATTGGGGCTGGATTCTGTTCTTGAGGAAGAAACAGAAACAGGAAGCGATGGAGAGAAGGCTGAGCCAGACACTGAGGTTAAAGATGATCCTAAACGAGCTTTGAAGGATAAGCGAGTTCGCAGTTTGATTCAAATGAGTTTGAGTGACCAGATCATCAGGAAGGTGATGAAAGAGACCTCAGCACTTGGTATTTGGAAGGCTTTGGAAAGGGATTATCAGACTAAATCCCTTCCTAACCGGATCTATCTTAAGCAGAGGTTTGCTAGCTACAAGATGGATGAGCAGAAGACTATTGAACAGAATCTAGATATGTTCTTGAAGCTGGTAAATGATCTTGAGAGTTTAGAGATAAAGATTTCTGATGAAGACCAGGCCATTCAGATTCTTACCGGTTTACCTCCAAAGTATGAACCACTGGTACATACTCTAAAGTACGGTAGTGGGAAGGACACACTTACAGTCAATGATGTGGTATCTGCAGCATACTCAAAGGAAACAGAGTTAAGAGAGAAGGGTGCTTTTGGAAAGGCCAAGTCTGATGCTGAAGGATTGTATGTTGGGGATCGTGGAAGATCTGATAAGAGAGGAAACTACTCAAGGGGGAGGTCTAAGTCGAGAAGTAAGGATTACTCTAAATCTAAGTCCAGCAAGAATAACAAAGGATGTTTCATATGTGGTAAAGAAGGACATTGGAAGAGAGAATGTCCCGAGAAAGGGAAGTTTAAAGGCTCCAGCTCAAGCTCAGTGAACGTTGCATCAGTTAAAGGCACTAAGAAGGAACCTTTGATTCTTACTGCAAGCATCCAAGACACTCGAGATGAGTGGGTGTTGGATTCAGGAGCGAGTTTTCATATTACCCCAAACAAGGAGGTTTTGTTTGATCTTAAGGAAGCTAGTGGAGGGAAAGTTCTGATGGGAAATAATACGTTCAGTGAAATAGAAGGAGTTGGAAAGGTGCGTATCAAGAAGAAAGATGGTTCTATAGTAATCCTCACTGATGTTAGGTTTATGCCTACTATGGGTAGAAACTTAATATCATATGGAAGCTTAGAGAAGGCTGGTTGCACTTATGAAGGAAGCGGATATAAAGTTAAGTTCTTCAAAAATGGAAAGGAAGTTCTAACAGGAAAGTATTCAGATGGTCTTTACTACTTGGAAGGATCAGTTCTAAAGGGTGAAAGTCATTCAGCAGCTCTTAAAGTCAGTGCAACAAAGAAGTGGCATTCTAGGTTGGGACATATAAGTCAGAAAGGTCTTGATTTACTTGTTAAAGGAGGATATCTAGAAGCCAAAGATATTGACAAGCTAGGGTTCTGTGAAGATTGCGTGTTAGGTAAGGCACATAAACAAAGCTTTAAGAAGGGAAAGCATACGTCTAAAGAAATCCTGGACTATGTTCATTCAGACCTATGGGGAGCTCCTACGGTGGTTCCAAGTTTGGCTGAGAAGCAATACTTCATCACGTTTATCGATGACTATTCGAGAAAGGTCTGGATCTACTTTCTAAAAACTAAAGACGAAGCCTTTGAGAAGTTTAAGGAGTGGAAAGTAGAGGTTGAAACTCAGACAGGGAAGAAGCTAAAGTGCTTAAGAACTGATAATGGGCTGGAGTATTGTAACAGGAGGTTTGATGAGTTCTGTAAAGCTACTGGGGTCAAGAGACATCGCACATGTTCCTATACACCGCAACAGAACGGGGTTTCAGAAAGGATGAATCGGACTATCATGGAAAGGGTTAGGTGTATGTTGGCTGAGAGTGGAATGGAGGAAAGATTCTGGGCAGAAGCGGCTTCTACTGCGGTCTACTTAATCAACAGGTCACCTAGTTCAGCTATTGAGTATAAGCTACCAGAAGAGCTGTGGTCAGGTTCTAAACCAGGTTTTAAGCATTTGAGGAGGTTTGGTTCAGCAGCTTATGTTCATAAGGTTGGAGCGAAGACTAGTGTTAGAGCGCTTAAAGGGTTCTTCGTCGGTTATCCTCAAGGAACTAAGGGTTTCAGAGTTTGGTTACCAGAGGAAGGTAGATGTACTATTAGCAGGAATGTCATCTTTCATGAAGAAGAAGTCTACAAAGATTTACAGAAAGAGACAGATTCAGTGGAGGTTAAGAGCAGTCTGACTAACGCGGATAAAGGGAAAGGTATAGAAAGAGAGAAGAAGAAGCAGGTTACATTCAGTCCTAATCTGGTTAAGGGTCCATCTAGGGGGCTAAATGATTCAGAGGCTTCTACTTCAGGGGTTTCAACACAGACAGGAAGTTCAGATTCAGGTGGAGCAGAGTCTGAATCAGAGGAAGAGGTATCTGAAACAGAAGGTGGAGTTGAACAGGACTTGGATCACTACATATTGGCTAGAGACAGAGTTCGCAGAGAGACAAAGCTGCCATCCAAATATGATGACTTTGATGTTGTAGCTTATGCTCTATCTGCAGCAAGTGACATTCAAGTTGATGAACCTAAGTCCTATCAAGAAGCTATGAGATCTAAAGAAAGTAAGCAATGGAGATCTGCTAGTGAAGATGAAATGGATTCACTTGAGAAAAATGAGACTTGGAAACTGGTGAAGAGACCTACTAAGAAAAGGGTTATAGGCTGCAAGTGGGTTTACAAGAAGAAGCCGGGAATTCCAGGAGTTGAGGAACCAAGGTTTAAAGGCAGATTGGTTGCTAAGGGTTACTCACAGGTTGAAGGCATAGACTACAATGAAGTGTTTGCTCCAGTGGTAAAACATGTTTCCATCAGGTTTATTCTATCTCTAGTGGTTAATGAAGATCTACATCTGGAACAGCTGGATGTTAAAACGGCTTTCTTAAATGGAACTCTAGAGGAAGAAATCTACATGGAACAGCCTGAAGGGTTTGTTACTAAAGGTAAGGAGGATTGGGTTTGTCTGCTAAAGAGGTCCCTATATGGTCTTAAACAGTCTCCGAGGCAGTGGAATAAACGCTTTGATGGGTTCATGAAGGAACAAGGTTTCAGAAGAAGTCCTTATGATCAGTGTGTCTACATCAGTGGAACCGAAATGGGTTCTAGGGTTTATCTGCTGTTATACGTTGATGACATGTTGG